ACCCCCGCGCGTCGTCCAGGCCAGGCTCCGCCCGCGCTCCACTGTAAATCTGGTCCTTTGGAGTACTTTCATACTGGCCTCTAACTTAAACTCCTTTTTTTTTTTTTGGTTTGGTTATTTATACATGGATTTATCTTTTTTTAAAAAGGGGTTAAGATGAGCTTTGGGGGGTTTTATTTTAAAGGTTAAGCGGCGTTGGGGACAGAAGGAAATTCTAGGACACTTAGTGGCTTCCAAAAGGTTCATTTCTAGAGGCCTTTTGCCCGACGTAAGGCTAATGAGACCGATTGACAGCGTGGCAGCCACAGTGGGCACAGGGTCAATGGTAAGGATGGCGCAGGACCGGGCCGTCTTCCTTCTGTTGTGCACCGACAGGGTCTATGAGTTGCAACCGACCAGATGGCAAACCACCACCACAAGGTTACACACTCAGCCGCTAACCGCGAGACGGGCAGTGTGAGCTCCTCATCTGTTCTCTCGGGGAGGCGGGGGGCATATCCTATAGGAGCTCTGGTGAGCAGCTAACCACAAGGTCAGCGGTTCAAACCCACCAGCAGAACGGTGAGGCTGTTTCAGTAAAAATGTAAACAAGGGGCACTTCTACCTTGGCCTACGGAGTCCTTCTGAGTGGGAATCCACCCCCGGCGGTGAGTTAGTGAAGCGTACTCACTCAATCCTATAGAGGTGCTAGGAGTGGCTTTACCTGGGGAAATCCTGAGCTCAAGAAATGCGTTCCTTTGCCTTTAGGGGCCACTGTTTGCCAGGTATTCTCTCCCTGGGCCACGGGGAGGGGACACGGACAGCTATGACGACATCAGCAGGAAATTAATATCAAATTACATTAGCCTCACATCCCGCGTTTCACTTATTCAGCCAGTAACAAGTCTTGAGTGCTCTTCCTGAGCAAATGTTCTTCCCAGGAACTTCCTGGGAACTTACAGGACACAGAGGACCAGGACGGAATTCCAGTTTCCCCGAGTGCTAGCGACCTCCCGAGGTTCAGTGGGACTTGATCTGAAGGTAGGAACGCCTTTCATTTGCGGGTTTAGTGCCTCTGCCATTTCTTTTACTGCACATGATAAAACTTGGGAAAATATGTTGTCCGCAACGCCATAGCGTTCGCAGGAGCCATGGCATGTGTCAAGCAATAAGGAAAGTCAAAAGAAAAGAGCTAAAATAAGGGTGGCGCCAGCATTGCCCTCTATGGATCAACAGGTGTGAATCCGCAAACTGAGACATTGAGTGGCCGATTTAGCAAAGCGACAGGACAGACTCTTCAGGAAAATAGAATTCTCCTTAGAACCGAGGCTGCCCTTGTCTCCAAGAACCCGTCGTTTGACCTTGGGGATACTTGAAGGGCAGGCCCCATGGATAATATCTCAGAAAACAGCTGCCTCCCTCAACGTCGGAAGTGATACCTGCCCTTGGTATAACGTTTGAGAAATTCAGGCAGGGTAGGAAAAAGAATCAAAAACGAGTCTCGATCCACTCGATGGCAATAGGTTTGGTTTCGGGTTTTAGTAACATCACCTGGAGAGTCTTGGCAATGGAGTTTTGGGGTCTGCATGTTTGCCTTCCTCTTGGAAATAGTTTTCTGATATCTAAAAATAGCCAAACCATGTCCCGTGAATCTATACCTCAGTCCTTGGGAAATGAAGGAGCTCTGTCAGGGCACTGCGCCTCTCATTCGAACACATTTTAGTGTAGAGAACACAGCAGGTAGGTGGAACCACTCTGAACCGGGTGCCCTGAAGCACTGCTCCGAGAGAGGCTCACCTCCAGGGGCAGAGGGTTGGCTTTGTGGTTTGATTCGGGTCTGGGCAACTCTGTCTATAAAGAAACTTCCCTTCCAGCGTCTGGGATTGTGGCTTGCTTCTGTGAGAGACAGCCCTGCCCAAAGTCAGTCATCCGAAGTCAAGGATGTCACTAACAACGACCCTCATGGCATGTCATTGTCATTGGGTTGGCAGATGTTCCAGAAGACTGAACTTCCCCGTTGCCTTATTTCTAAAGTTCTCAACGGGAGCGATTTCTGCCACTAGGCCTGTGAACTCGGGCCCGGCTACCAAGCCTGAGTCATATCAAGGCTCCGCCCTCCTTCTAGGCTAGCTCCCAGGGGGGACATTTTGATTTGAGAGAAATCAGGGTAAATTGAGCTCCAATAAAAATGTCCCTCCACACCTCCTAAAGGGTAACATACACGCTTGTGTTGAGGTGGCCATTTCTAGGCTGTTGGTATGTGAAGCAGCCTTGTAGAAACTTCTTCAGCACTTCCAGTGAAGTCTGATACTGGGTACAGAGGCAGCTGCCCGGGGTGGGGGAAGGGCCTGGAAGTTGGGGTGTGTTCTCTTTCTTACTCTCCAACTTCCTGTCCAACTCTTCTGTCTCTCCCAAGCTGGCCATGACATCTCAGGGTTAAGGCCTGGGCACCAGTCTGGAGGAAATCCGCATCATGGATTTTCGCAAGAAGCTTCTGAAGATCGACACATCCCTGGGGGCCAAAGAGGTGGAGGCTCTGAAGTTTCTCTGCCGAGACATGCTGCCCCACAAGAAGCTAGAGAAGGCCAGCTCGGCCCTGGAGATTTTTGAGCAGCTGCTGGAGGAGGAGCAGCTCACCGAGGAGGACCCTGCCCTCCTCATGGAGCTCCTCTGCGTCATCAGGCAGAGGTCCCTGCTGCAGCATCTCCAGTACCGCCCAGAGCAAGTGCAGGCCTCGCTGCCCACCCTGAGGAGAATCTCTCCGTTCAGGTACACCGGGCATCTGCCATCAGTCAGAAGGGCGTTCCATCTCCCTTCTTGTTTCATGCCGGAAACGCCCAGCCTTCATTCAGGCCACTGGGTTTTGAAAGGAAACTGGGGACAGGGCAAGATATGACAAAATAATAATTTATAAATGATCAAGGTCTCATAAGGGAGGGGGAGCGGGGAGGGAGGGGAAAAATGAGGACCTAATGCCGGAGGCTTAAGTGGAGAGCAAATGTTTTGAGAATGATGAGGGCAATGAATGTACAAATATGCTTTACACAATTGATGTATTTATGGATTGTGATAAGAGTTGTATGAGCCCCTAATAAAACGATTAAAAAATAAATAAATAAAATAAACTGGAAAAAAGAAAGGAAACTGGGATTAAGATTTGACTGCCCACCACCTATCTGCTTGGTAGTGAGGCCCTGGGAAATGCTTTGGCTTCCTATGCTAATGAGATGGGAGGCTGGGATGGGAGCTCGGGGCCTAAGGGTTCTTCCCTTTGTTGTTAACTCAGTTGATTCCAACTTGTGGGACCGTGGCTTTCTGGTGCAGAGGAGTCACTCTCTGGAAGGTATTCAAGGCTTTCAGAAGCAGATTGTCAAGCTTGGCCCTCATAGGGTCTCTGGGTAGATTTGGGTCACCAACCTTTCTGCTATATCTGTTTGTAGCATCCAGGGCATCCCTTCCCTTGGAGAAGTTCACCAAAGCCTAGCAGAATCTGCTGCTTTTCTTGTTTACCAGGCTCTCAAGTGAGAAAGGAGCCCTAGTGGCATAGTAGGTTAAGGAATGGGCTGCCAACCACAAGATCAGCGGTTCAAATCCAGCAGCCATCCCCTGGGAGAAAGACAGGCTTTCTACTTCCCTAAAGATTTACATGAGGTGCCCTGGTGGTTATGCATTAGGCTGCAACACACATGGTCTGCAGTTTGAAACCACCAGCAGCCCCCTGGAGAAAGACTGAGCTTTCTGCTCCTGGAAACAGTTACAGTTGGGGAAAACTCACAGGGGTCACCGTGGCAGGGAGTCTGGCTTTTTGGTTTTTACAGCCTTAATGGTAGAGTTTGAAGGAGCTCAGGAGCAGTGCAGCACAGTTGATAAACAAAGCAATCGGTGGTTTCCACCCACCTCTTCTTGAGAGTCAGATGTGGCGGCTGGTTTTGGTTTCGGTTTACAGCCGTGGACACTGGATGGGGGCAGTTCTACCCTGCCCTTTAGAGTGAGGGACCAGCCTCCACACTGAAAGGGTCCAAGGGGTGGTTGTGTAATTGAGGGGTAAATTAAACAGACCTCAGACAAGGCAAAGCATGCAAGGGCTCACCTCCACCTCCACCATGGCTTCAGGAACCAGGTCCAAGCAGAGAGAGAACTTGGAATGTATTCTCACTAGTTTATATAATCTCCGGCAGGCAAGCCAAAAAAGAATATACGTAACAGGAAGGGGTTGCATTAGAGGCAGGAGGGGGATGAGCTAGGGGTAAACACGCAATAGGAAAGGGAGGCTCTAGAGGCCTACATGTGACAGGAAGGTACATGCATAACCAGATGGGCGGGCTCTAGAGTCAAGAGGGCAGCCTAACCTGGGTATCTCTGAGCTGGCCTGACTTTAGGGGCCTTTGCACTCTTCTCCAGGGGAACAATCTATGATCCTTAACAGAAGAGAGTGGGTTCTACTTAGGGTGGGACAGACTATAGGGTCTGATTGCTTTGGATGGCAGACAACCTTCAGTCAGATAGCCTTCAAGCAGTTGACCTTCAAGAGGGTAGTGAGCAACCGTGTGTTTGCAAACAGCACCTTGAAATTAGCATTATTCTGGGGGGGACATTGAGGGGAATGACTTTTACTTAGGAGAATGTGACTGGACGGTACCTGCAACTTACTGAGGTGAAGGTTCCCTCCACTGGAGCCCTGGCCTCCCAGACTCCTCACTGGACGGATGTTGAGGGTTTGTCCGCAATACACTCTCTTCCCTCTTCTGGTTCCCACACTTTAGGGTCACTTTGAGTCAGAATCAACTTGATGGCAGTGGGTAGGACACTGTCACATGGATTCCCCGAGTAGTGCCAAGTGTTAACATATTAATGAAACGGTTGCCCTTTGGAGCCCACCCAGAGGAACCTCATGCGAAAGGCCTGGCAACCTACTTAGAAAAACCAGCCAGTGAAACCCTGTGTTTCGCTCTGCACAGGTGGGGTCGCCGGGAGTCAAAACTGACTCGATGGCATGAGTTTGCTTACGCTCTCGGTTCTTCCTTCACGGACTTGCTGATGTTTCCAGCTCCCTCCAGGAATTTTAAGAAGAGGGTCAGCCTATTGGAATGAAATGAGCAAAACAGAAGAGATGTGCCTGAGGGTGGGAGAGAGAGCATCCCTGTTTATGAAAATAAAAATACATAAAGAAAGAAAATGTAAAGAAAAGAGAGCATTCCTGTGATGTTCAGTTACAGATTTTAAAAAATACACTTTTGGGTGGAAGAAACTCCACCCCAAACCAAAAACCTGACTCCCTTCCATCGAGTCAGTGCCAACCCTGAGCGATCGCAGGGGCAGAGTGGGACTGCTCCTACGGTGTTCGAGCCTATGCATTGCTGTGGGTGCAGATGTCTCAGCGCGCACATGCGCGCTGTAGCTGGTGGTACTCACCTTGTGATTAGCAGCCCAGTGTTTAACCCCCCCCCCAACCCCCAATGAAGCAAAAGATAGGCATTTTGCCCAAAGAGGTAAAATATAGGCATTGGGCTATGATGGGGCAGACCTTGAATAGCACAGTTTTACATTGCTCTCCGACATACTGTCTATACCAGAGACACTTGCAAGGAGGAGTATTGGAAGTATGGTGTATGCATGGCTCTGATGAGTAAAAACTAAGTGCTTGGAACCGGTTCCTAGAACCTGAGACCTAATTGGTAAGCGATAGAAATAATGAATTCTGGAAACCATCATTCTTTCCACTCCACTCTCTGGAAGTTGGAATCAACTCAATGGCAATGGATAATGGCCATCTGAAGCCCTTTTGCTGGTAGGCAGTGCTGTCTGTGTGTGAGTGAAACATTAAGTTCTCCTGATTGTCAGATGGGTCCCTGCTAGTTTCAGTGGTGGGGTTTATATTGGGTCCTCCCTGTTGAATTTCTGTCTATAAAGTAAGCCCGAATTTATACAATGGTATCAGATAGAGGAAGGAATACAGTTTTAGGCCAGCCCAATGGGAAAGACAATGGCACTCGACTTAGAACAGAAGGCCTGCCTCTGTGGCATCTTGTATTATTTTAATTTAAATAAGCCACGAGGAAGTTTATAGTTCTCGCCTTTGGTTCTTTAAAGTGGGATTCCTCAGTCAGTACTCACAGGGTTGGGTTTATAAGAGGACTTGCTGCTTTTTCAGTGATGCACTCCACAAGTGTGATCTTTTATTTGTCATTTTGGATGTATTCTTAGAAAACTACTATACGAATTGTCGGAAGATATGGACTCACAGACCTTACGGAGCATGATCTTCCTCCTGCCGAACGTGTTTCCAAAGACTGAGATGGTGAGTGGGCCATAGAGAGCGAAGGTTGGGTAGGCACTGCCTTCATGGGCCCTTCAGTGGGGACTGCGGGTGGGGGTGGGGTTTCAGAAAGACTTGTTCGTATTATTTTACCATTGCACACATTATGGCTAGGAAAGTCAACTTTAGCTGTAAGATGGGCTAGGATTCCATCCTGGCTCTGCTGCTAATCTCATGCACATGGTGCAAATGATTGGACCTTTCTCCACGGCCAAATTGTAGAGCCCTCTTCTTCTTCCTTCCGGTTGGAAGGCTTAAAGGAAATGATGTGCATGAAGCATTAACATGGGGCCTTTATTTGCACAGAGTAAACACTCAGTCCAGAGTGGTCAACGGTTAGCATGCTTGGTTGTTTTCTGAAAAGTTGGGGGGGTGTAGTTTACCCAGAGACATCTGGGAAGAAAGTACTGGCAATCTACTTCTGAAAGAAATCAGTCATTAAAAACCCTATGGTAAGCAAACAAACAGATAAAAACCCTATGGAGCAATCAACTTGATGGCAACCGGTTTAACCTCTCAGTCAAGGTTAACTGTTCTTGGGATCCTTGGTGTTTTATGATACAGGCATGTGTGGGCCACAACAGGGAGATGAGGAAGAGTGAAAAATGACAGAGTAAGAATGGTTTATTCATTGCCTACCTTAGCTGAGGTTTCTGAAGGAGCCCATTGTGTCCTTGGGGTGGACTTTGCACTGCTTCAAAGTTCCTTTCAAAGTTTCTGTGGAAGTAAAATGAGAAACATGTGTTATAGCATGTGTTGCATGAGGGTGAAGAGGAATTTATAGGCTGGTAACAGATATATGGGCTAATATTGAGCTTATGGATTTGATCTGGGCAGGGCTGGGATGTTTTCTTAATATATAATCACTCTTTTTTATTAAGCCCTTTCTTTTTTTTATAGGAAGTATATGTATTTTTATTTCCTCATATTTCCCAATTTATTTTTAAAATCATTTTATTAGGAGCTCATACAACTCTTATCACAATCCATACATACATCAATTGTGTAAAGTGCATTTGTACATTCATTGCCCTCATCATTCTCAAAACATTTCCTCTCCACTTAAGCCCCTGGCATTAGGTCCTCATTTTCCCCCTCCCTCCCTCATGAGCCCTTGATAATTTATAAATTGTTATTTTGTCGTATCTTGCCCTGTCCGACGTCTCCCTTCACCCACTTTTCGGTTGTCTGTCCCCCAGGGAGGAGGTCACATATAGTTCCTTGTAATTGGTTCCCTCTTTCCAACCCACTCTCCCTCTACCCTCCCAGTCTCGCCACTCACACCACTAGTCCTGAAGGGATCATCCGCCCTGGATTCCCTGTATTTTCAGTTCCTATCTGTACCAGTGTACATCCTCTGGTCTAGCCAGACTTGCAAGGTCGAATTCGGATCATGATAGTGTGTGTGGGGGAGTAAGCCCTTTCTTATGTATCTATGAGTGTCTATGAATTTGTTTCTCTAGTCAACCCAGATGCACACATTATGGTACCAGGAGTGGGTACTAGAGAAACAAATCATGAAGATGGAGAATGGATACTTTAACTCCTGCCTCATGGTAGTTCTTCTTTGGGTAACCAGAGGTTAGATATGGCAATGCAGTTTACTGGGTTGTTGTCTGGAAAGAAGATGGGAATTTAAAATGTAAATTTTCTTGTTTCCTTGTTGTCTTTGGTGATTCCTGTTTGAAATGGCAACAATGAATGTGATTAATGTATATTTTGAACTCAGAGGACAAAATCGCCCCTTGAATTTCTCAGAGATTATACTTCTTAATGAAAATGGCTAACAGAAGGTCAAAATGGCTGACAGAAAGCCTGGTTTTGGCTTGATTCTAAGTCAGAGGTCTAAGGCCATATTTTGTATCAATGGAATAGTTTAGATAAGGACTAAGATAGGTTAGATAAGGGTTGAACTGGACTGTTTTAAGAATTGAGTTTAGGATCTGAGTCTGTTTGTTTATACTGATTTCTTCTGCTTATTATTGATATAATGATTGATAGAAATGATTATTGTGAAGTATGAAAATAGAGAGTTTGTAAACCTTGCCTTCAGCCATTAAAATTAGAATCTTTAAATGGGTTGGGGCACACCTGCAAAGAAGGTTCTGAAAAGATAAGCCCCATCCAGTGTCTTCAGTGCTCAGGACATTCGAAGGTAAAGAGACTTGCCTAGGGGGCTGTTGACAGGCTGAAGGGGGAAAAAAGGAACCCTTTGGATTTTTGCATTTTGAACTATTGGTTTGTGCTAGAGGCTGGAAAAAATCTGGAGCCACGAAGAAACTCTCCTCTCTAAGACTGGACATTAAAGGGAACCTTTGGGCACCCTGAAATGCTTGCTAGGTGACCACCTGGATCCACTTGTTGAGTGGAAGTGGGAGAAATGCAGCAATAACGAGATGGGTTGAGTCTGGCCACTGATCCCCATGGACCTGGTTCACAAGGAGAAGATGAGAGCAGGTTGACTGGTCTGAAGTTCATGACCTAGCACAAGGGGTTAGGGATGTTGAGAATTTGTGATGGGGCACCCTGGTGAGGCTAAGCGAGGCAGCCCACATTGAGTTGACCAGAACCCGACCAGCTGGAGATTTTTGAGCCTGTGAACTGATGCATATTGCTGCTGACTTTATGGATGGGCTGTCCTGATTTGACTTTGCTTAAGGATGCGGACATACAAGGTTCCAACTGGAATGAAGATTATTCACATCAAAGAATATGATTGTCTCCTCAGAGGACTGGGTTGATGTAAGTGGGCAGTATAGATATTGGATACCCAAAATGGGGTGGATAAAGGGATGAAGTGGTTGGCTTACAAACTTTCATAGGTGGGGGAATATACTCATAGGATTATAGGATGAAGGTATAGGTGTTACTTAGCTGAAACTGTTAGGCATAGAATAGAATAGTATGCTTAAATGAGGCTTTGGCACAAATTGATTGTATGCATTTTAGTTTTATCCTATTAGGTACAGATATGATTTTACAATTGTTTTATTTAAAAATTATATATGGCTAAAGAGTTGTGTAAAAGTGTCAAGTTGACAAGGGGTGGTTTGTGGCAGTAACATAATCTCCTGTCAACTTGTGAAGGGGTGGAGTCTAGCCTGTCAATTGGGTTGCAGCTTGATGACCTCATTTGGAAGCACGAAAGAGATAAAGAGCTCACTGGCGGGCAGACACACTCTCTGTTTCGACTCTCTCTGCTTTGTCTCTGCTTCATCTCTCTCTGCATCATCTTCCTGCTGACAAGACAGCATGGAACTAAGCTAGATCTCTGAAGCTGGAGGAGCCATGTGGAGACCCACACCAGCACTAGGATGCTTCCACTGCCACTGGATCCACAAGATTTTCCACCCATTGGCCTGTGAACTTCCTGCATTTGGCATCATAGCATGTGTTGTGTGAGTTTGAAGAGGAATTTACAGACTGGTATCGGACACATGGGCTAATATTGGACTTATGGACTTGATCTGGACTGGGATGTTTTCTTAATATACAATTATTCTTTTATATAAATCTCTTTCTTATACACATATGAGGGTCTATGAATTTCGGGAATGACACAATCAAGAGGACTGGCATTGCATTCATTGTCATAAAGGACATTTCAAGACCTATCTTGAAGTACAATGTGCCTGTGATAGGATAATGTCTATCCAAATATTGTTCAAATTTGTGTCCCAACCACTAAAGCTGGTGATGAAGAAATTGAAGAATTATTTCAATGTCTTCAGTATGAAATTAATTAAACATATATTCAGTATGCATTGATAATTATTGGTAACTGGAATTCAAAAGTTGGAAACAGAGGAAGGAATAGTAGTTGGAAAATATAGTCTCGACGATAGAAATGAAGCTGAAGATCACATGATAAAATTTTTGCAAGATTGATTACTTGTTAAATTAAATATCTTTTTCCAAAAACACAAACAGCGACTACATACGTGGACTTCTCTATATGGAAGACACAGAATACAAATTGAGCACTTCTGTGGGAAGAGATGATGGAGAAGCTCAATATCAGCAGCTAAACCCAGACCAGGAGTGAGGGTGCAGTATAGCACTGACGAAACACAACATTTCTCTAGTTTTCTTTAATGCTTCCCCACCCCCAACCCCACTATCATGACTCTAGTTCTATCTTGAAAATCTGGCTAGACAAGAACATATACACTAGTACAGATAAGAGCTCTCAACACACACAATCCAGGACAGTCAAACCCCTCAGGACCAATAATGAGAGTAACGCTTCCAGGAGGGTAGGGGGAAGGTGGAGGGAGAAGGGAGAGAACAGGGGAACTGATCACAATGATCGGGGACAAATAACAGAAATGTGGGTGAAGGGAGACAAAGGATGGTGTAATATATGAGAATAAAAATTATTTATAAATTATCAAGAGTTCATGAGGGTAGGGAGGGTGAGGAAAAAGATGAGTTGATTAGAAGGGCTCAAGTAGAAAGAAAATGTTTTTGAAATGATGATGGCAACATATGTACAAATGTGCTTGATAGAGAGCCTCCAATAAAGCGATTTATGAAACAAACAAACAAAATAAAACCCAGGCCAGGAGCTGTCTGTGGAAGACATTATCAATTGCTCATATGTAAGTTCAGGACGAAGTTGAAGAAACTTAAAATTTAAGTCCATGAGAGTCAAAATATGACCTTGAGTCTATCCTACTGGAATTTTGAGAACATCTCAAGGACAGATTTGCTGCATTGAACACTAATGACAGATGGCCTGATGAGCTGTGGGATGACATCAAGAATCATTCCTAAAGAAAGGAAAAGGTCATTAGAAAGAAAAAAAAACAACAAAAAAACCCAAAGTGGATGTCAGAAGAGCCTCTGAAATTTGTTCTTAACTGTAGAGTAGTTAAAACAAATAGAAGAAATGATCAAGTCAAAGAATTGAACAGAAAAAAAATTTTTTATAACTTTTTATGATTTAAAACTTTATGGAGTAAATAGGTTTCCATTCAACA